ATTAATATATTATTAAATGTGGTACAGAATATCTGCCTTATGCAGATTACATTTGCATAAACAGAAATTAGCATGTTACACTGTTAGATGGATGGTTGACATGTCTTTTGCATTAAAAAGTATGATTTTTACAGCATATGGAAAAGAAGGTGTGAAAATGAACTTCATAGATCGGATCTTTATTGGTGAATTAACTAGCACGGTCATGTGTGAAGAATGTGCAAATGTAGGTACTTTGGAATTCACTTCAGCATGGAATAGATTACAGTCACATTTTATATTTTCTTTCACATATCATTGGCAGTCATTTTTAAAATTTTTGACATGACTAATAATTCTTGAAAGTCATTTAAAAATCTTATTCCCTAGACTTCTAGAAAGTAAACATGATGATTTATAATTTTTTAAGTAAGTGTGTTTATGTGTGTTTTTATTTTTCCTCATGATACACCTGTGAAGTGGTATATGCTGAAACGTATTAGTTGCCTATTTGGATTGATGTGAGAGAGGAACTTCTGTGAAGAGAGTAACTTACATTGCAGTGCCCTAAAATGTAATACCAATAGAAATAATTTAATGTAGTAACATAGAGTGATTATATCACATTTGATTTATAGTTTATATTTATATGACTTGTTAAAGTTTTTTGTATATAGACATGACTCATCTTTGAACTGAGTGATAATTGAATGCCATCTTTAACAACAACTTAAAACATAAATTTTTATAGATTTTTTTTTAATTGCTGAGTAAGGAATGTTTCTGAAAGTGTGTGGCTTTAGAGTATGAGAGGTTTACATTTTGTCAGATTTTTCATGGTAGAAGAAAGAGTCTCTATCATGTCCGTTTTCCTGTCTCAGATTATGGAGTACTGTCCTCTCTAGTGTCATAAAAGGATTATAAATGACATCTCCTTCTAGCCTGTTACGTTGAAGCACAGAATGTATAAACACGATTACTGAAATTTATAAGAATATTCAGGATAGAAGTTAATTTCTCTCTCACAAGGTAGAGAGTATCTTTTAAAACAGAATTATCCTAAGGAATATACAAAACAGCCAAGCTCTCTCCTTTTTTTCATGACTTTCTCTTAACATTTTATATTTTATTTATGTTATGGTACTAATTTCACCAAAAATGTTGAGTTTCTTTTGTTAATCAGTTTTATTAAACTGTTTATTTTGAAATTACTGTAAATATTACAGGTTATTCATATTGATAATGTTACAAAATTCAATTGGATTGTGCTCATTGAAGTTTTGAAATATGTCATTTTGATTACCAATGTGCTGTAATACCCAATTAAATCACTATTTGTTCCAGGAACATTTTTTAACTTAAAATTTTAGGTAGCCTGGGAAGTTTGATTTCTTTGATATATTAGAATTCTAACTGAAGTTCTCCATATGTTTTCTTTTTAAGATATCCACAGTGAAAGATCCTTTCATTGATATTTCACTTCCTATAATAGAAGAAAGGGTAAGGAAAAAAAACTAATGATTCTTTTGTGAAGAACATTTATTCATTTATTTAGGCATTTGTTGAGTGTTTTATCAGATATATGAAAGTCATTTTTTATATGTAATTGAGTCTGTACAGTGTGTTCGATATTGGGGTTTGTGTGCATAAAGTATGATATAGTTGTTTTCAAGGAATTTAAACCCTTATGCTTTATATTTTAAGAAAATATATTTTAAAAGAAAATCATCTTTTTATATTTCAAGTAAGATAGAAATTAAGATGATGATATCCACAATTTATTTACTAAAGAACTTTTGTGTTACATACATGGCATTTACATAGGGTTCAAAACCTTTACCTTTGGGAAGAATGAGTAAATATAGAAGTTCACAGGAGACAGATCATAATCAGTACAGTGGCACTGTTACTACAGAAAATACTGATCAGCCCAGAGCCGCCAAGAAGTATTCTCCATCTAAAGATAAGGTAAGACTGTGAGCATTTGTTAGACTTTTGTTTTTTAACACTTTTTATTAAAAATTTCAAGCATATATAAAAGTAGAGAAAATAGTATAATAAACACTCATCTGCTCATTTCTCAGCTTCATAATTATTACCTCATGGCTAATCATGCATTAGCCATATCCCACATACTCCTCTTACCCCATCCAAGATTATTTTTGAAATAAATCCAACATGTAATTCAATGTGTATCTCTTAACCACAGTACCATTATCATACTGAAAAATATGAATAAATTTTTAATAGCACCAAGCATCCAATAATTATTCAAATTTCTGTAATTGTCTCATGAATATTTGGTTTTTGTTTTTGCTTTCTGAATGTTGTTTGAATTTAGGATCTAAAAAAGGTCTATAGGCTACAATTGATTGCCACGTCTCTTATGTCCCTTTTAATCTGTAGATTCCCTCTCCTTTATTTATTTATTTATTTATTTATTTTGCAATTTATTTGCTGAATAAATCAGATCCTTTTTTCAGCCGTTTCCCACAGTCAGAGGTAAATCATTTTGCTATCACATTCCCATGGTGTTAACAGGTTCCTCTGTCTCCTTTGTTTCCTCTCTAAGGCAGTTAGATCTAGAGGCCTAATTAGATTCAGGTTTGATTATTTAAGTTTTAGCAAGAAAACTTTTTAAGTGGTGATGTTTACTGCCGTCAAGTAGGTACACATAATGTTTATCTCTTTCCATGATATTACTAGTCATTGATGACCATTGTCTTCCCATTGTTTCATTAGGACATACCTGGTTGTTGAATTATCCCATGAAAATGGAAAGCAAATCTGAATTTATACTTAAAGGACTTTTTTTAATATAAAATGATGTGTACTAACTTAGCAAATTGACATATCAAATTCAACTTACTCTGTTAGAAGGCTCTAAAGTGGCAAGACAACATGTTTTCTTTAAATAAAAGCTATCTTATCTCTGCTTCATAAGATATATGGAGCAGTTAAATACAGTTTGAGCGTATGCTTTATTCTAACGATATAGGACAAAGGCACCTTATGGAGTTTGAAAAGATTAAAGCATTTTAATAGTGTTGATGTGCCCCTAAAAAGCACTGATTATTAAAACATGAATATGTGATTTGTTCTTTATTTTTGTTTAACTTTAAAGAATTAATAGCAAATTCTGTGGTTGCAGCCAGAATAGTTTTAATAGATCTGTCATCCAAATGTATGAGAGAAATATGTCCCACATAGTATTGGTCAAGAACTTAGAACATGCTTCTATGATACATAGAAACTGTCAATACTTCAAACATCTGGACACCACATGGGTATAACTTGTGCTTGTGCTGAACAAACTGGACCTATTTACTGAACATTTTTTTCCACATAATGATATAATTTAAAGTTAGTTTCTTGGGTTTTATTTTTTGTTTTTTTGAGACAAGAGTCTTGCTCCATTGCCCAGGCTAGAGGGCATCATCATAGGTCACTGCAACCTCACGCTCCTGGGTTCAAGTGATCCTCCTGCCTCAGCCTCCGAGCAGCTGGAACTGCAGGTGCACACCACCATGCCTGGCTAATTTTGTTTTTCTGTTTTTGTTTTTTAGTTCATGGGAAAAGTGTGCATATGTTTCTAAAGTTAGAAAAACACAGTTCTAATAACATCTTTAAGATGCCATCTTCAAGAAGCAAAAAGTTAAATGACATAAATATATTTCAGTCATTAGGAATTTTATAAGTTATTTTCCAGTAATTCTGCAGTTACTGAATCATTTTGGTAATGGAACCAGAATGATTCAGTAGTTACCAATTTCAGTACTGATTTTATAAAGATCAGTAAGGTCCTGTTTTGCTTGATAGCACAGCGTAATAAGATTATCAAGATATTTAATTTTGACAAACTTTTCTTTATAGTATTCTTGGCTTTAATCTGTTACTTACATTATCTGTACCAAACAGAAGCTCCTTGCATGTTTTAAAATAGAGGTATAAGTACTGATTTGACAGTAAGTTATTGAGTTTTTCACCTCTTATCTTTGCTAAATTATACTACTGTTATCTCATTAAAATCATACAAAGTTTAACATGAGGAATGATAAATATAATTAGATGAAAATAATATACAGTGAGAAGTAGCTGAAAAAATCTTGCCCTTAAGTTGGAAGAATGTCATCACTGATTACCTTGGAAAAGTAAATTTTCTTTTGCTTGCTGGTAATGGAGGCAAATAATCCAGTTAAATAAAGCATTATAAAACTAATATGTGTAATTTCTAGCCTAAATATAGAAAAAATCCTAATTATAAAGCAAAAGGTAGATACATAGAGTAAATATCCATAGGCATATAAGGATACTTCTTAGATCAAAAACTAAGATAAAATGAAATGTAACAAGTGAGACCCAAAGGTCAACTATGTAAAGAGTCTGTTTTGTAGGCTATTCTTCCCTTCTTTCCTCACCCCACAACTTTTTTGTTAAACCATCATGCTGACTGAATAAATGTAGAAACTAGAAAGTCTCAAATTGATATCCCTATTTAAAATCTTTCCTCAGTCTATTGGTTCTGAAAGAAATCCACAGGTCTAATTCACTGAGCCAATTCAACATATGTGTGTTAGTTTTATGAGCACTGATGTTAATATGAAATTGCTAAAACCTAATGTTGTACCTTTCATCATTGAAGTTACATTCAGAACCAGTCTTCTTATCTACATGGAATAAGTTAGGAAAGTTTTTAATTGTCCTATTTTATCAGTCAGACCACTGACCAAAAGAATACTGATATAGTTACAGTATCTATCGATATATCTAAAAATAAATTTGAGGGAAACCCTGTATCAAAGGAATCTTACCTGGTTTTACCATTTTTTCTTACATGCTAAGTTGCTCAAGGTATTATGCAGAAATATTTGAGAAAATGGCAACTTATCCTATGTAAATATTTCAAAGGATCAAATTGAGCAGATACTTAGACTTTGTAATTTTTCAAGCCTAAAACAGTTGCAAGGATATTTTTATCATGTGTTGACTCATAATTTACTATCAGGAATTTTGGAAACACCGAAGATAGACATATTTGCTCTTTGATCATTTTCGTCCGTCTTACATTTTTAAGGTTTAGAAGTAGACTTTTCCCCCCTACTTACAGTGTCTGTAACAAAAAAAGAAGTTCCTTCCATCTTTAAAATCATTAATAGAGGCACAAATACTGATTCAGTAGTAAATTACTGAGTTTTTCACCTCTTTGCTAAATTATGCTACAGTTACCTCGTTAAAACCATACAAAGTTTAATATGAGGAATGGTAAAGAAGCATCAGGTAAAAAAAGAGAAATGAAACCAAGATAGTAATATGAATATAAATGGAGAAAGCACTGGCAGAAAGGCAGAAGATCTGACCTTATTCAGAGTATTTAAAAAGGGAAAGAAAGAATGAAAGGAAACAGTGCATAGAAATTTTTTATTGGAAAATTGAATGAGGCAAAACATTACCAAAATGGCCTGTGAGATAGTGAGAAAAGAGCCTCCAGATTAATCTCTTCTCTGGTTTCTGCTTCTTCCCCTGCTCCCTGCCACCACTTGATGCTCCACATCGTGGTCAGAGAATTATTTCTGAAATACGAAACTGGTCATCTTACTCCCTGTTGCCCTAAGAATCAAGTCTGTGACTTAAATAGCTCTTCATGCATCTGGTTCATTTTTGTTGGTTCTCCTTTCCATATCTGTACTTCTGTAACTTTTTGTTCTTTCTCTTACTTGTGGGCCTTTGAACTTAACTGTTTTTCTCTGCCGGGAACAGTCCCATTTCTCCTCCTGCACTCTCTGCTCAATTCCTACAGATTTCTCTGATCCACTCAACTCTGGATTATTCTTTTTACTTTAGGTTTCTATAGCACCTGTATTTCTGCTATCATAACAACAATAATTGTGTCGAACATTTGAGTTCTTAGTTGTGATCACTGATTTCAGTTCTTTACACCAATTATATTGAGTCAAGAGATAGATTAAGTAACATGCCTAAGATCATACGGGTAGCCGGTAGCAGAAATGGGAATTCGAACAGGCTAAACAAGGGGCCATGTTGCTAACTGTGTACTGTCTCCAACTGACACTTATGTCTTATCATACTTCTATTGGGATAGATAGTAAGCTCTGCAATAGAATTGAGTCTGTCCTCGCTACTATGTCTCAGGTGCCTAGTTTAGTGTTTGTACGTGGATGGTGTTTGGGAAGACTAATGTGATCATTCCCATGATTGCTGCCAATAATAATAGTGAATACTTATGCTGCTTACTATGGGCCAGGCACTATTCTGTGGGCTTTTATGTACATTGTTTCATTTAACCACCAGAACAACCCAACAAAGTTGGCACTTCTACTTTTATAGGTGAAGAAACTGGAATACTGATATGTCAAGTAGTTTCTCTAACATCATCCAGCTAGTAAGTTGCAGAGTGTGAATTTGAACACAGGCAATCTAGTTCCAGAATCATACTCTTAGCCTCTATTCTGTATCACCTCTTTGATAGTAAGCTTTCTTCCATGCAGTTTTGATTATCTTTTCAGAATAAACTTATTAATCTTTTGTCTTAATTCATATTATAAACCTAAAGAGAATACTTTTAGTGAATTAAATCTATCATATATCCAATCAAGCAGACAATAAGGATGGAAATGGGTACTTTATATTTCACTGGGAGTATTAATAGAAGGGTAAAAGGGCATTAGAATAGTCTTGTTCAAAAGTTCCAAAGACCAACTGATCATCAGATCACATGTTTATTAAAACAGAGTCTCAAGCCCAATCTCAGACACCATAAATCAGCATTTCTAAATGGTAATGCCTGGGATTTGAGACTGAGTCTCACTGTTGCCCAGGCTAGAGTGAGTGTGACATCAGCCTAGCTCACAGCAACCTCAAACTCCTGGGCTCAAGCAATCCTCCTGCCTCAGCCTCCCGCATAGCTGGGACTACAGGCATGTACCACCATGCCCGGCTAATTTTTTCTATATATTTTTAGTTGTCCAATTAATTTCTTTCTATTTTTAGTAGAGACAGGGTCTCGCTCTTACTCAGGTTGGTTTCGAACTCATGAACTCAAACAATCCGCCTGCCTTGGCCTCCCAGAGAGCTAGGATTACAGGCATGAGCCACCATGCCCGGCCTACATGTGATTTTTTAAAATGTATAGAATGTGTAATGATCAAGTCAGAGTACTTACGATATCCATCACCTCAAGCATTTATCAGATCTTTGTGTTGGGAACATTTCAAATCTTCTCTGCTAGCTATCTTGAAATATACACTATATTGCTGTTAACTATAGTCACCCTACTGTGCTACTAAATGTTAGAACTCATTTCTTCTATCTAACTGTATGTTGTACCTGTTAACCTGCCTTTCTTTATTTTCTTCCTCTCACACACACCCTTCCCAGCCTCAGGTAACTATCATTCTACTCTTCTACCTTCATGAAATCAACGTTTTTAGCTCCCACATATGAGGGAGAACGTGTGATATTCATCTTTCTGTCTGGCTTACTTCACATAACATAATGACTTCCAGTTCCATCCATGTTGCTGCAAATGACAGGATTTTATTCTTTTTTATGGCTGAATAGTATTCCATTGTGTATATATACCACATTTTCTTTTTCAATTCATCCATTGTTGGGTAATTAGGTTGATTCCATATCTTTGCTATTGTGAATAGTGCTGCAATAAACATGAGGGTGCCGGTATTCCCTTATCTTTGGGAAATACCCAGTAGTGGGATTACTGGATCATATGGTAGTTCTATTTTTAGTTTTTTGAGAAATCTGTGTACTGTTTTGGTTACTATAGCTTTGTAGTATATTTTGAAGTCGGGTAGTGTGATGCCTCCCACCTTGTTCCTTTTGCTCAGGATTGCTTTGGGTATTTGGGCTCTTTTTTGGTTCCATGTGAATTTTAGGATTTTTTTTTCTATTCCTATGAAAAATGTCATTGATATTTTGACAGAGATTACATGGAATCTGTAGATTGCTTTAAGTAGTATGGTCATTTTAATTCATACTACTTCTTCTGATCCATAAACATGGGATATGTTTCCATTTGTGTCCTCTTCAATGTCTTTCATCAGTGTTTTATAGTTTTCCTGTAGAGGTCTTTTACTACCTTGGTTAAATTTATTCCTATGTGGGTTTTTTTTTTTTTGGTTGTTTCTGTGAATGAGATTGCCTTTTTTTGTCCAGCTAGTCTATTATTGCTGTACAGAAATGCTACTGATTTTCATATGTTGATTTTGTATCCTGTAACTTTACTGAATTTATCAATTCTAAGAGTTTTTTGGTGGAGTCTTTAGGCTTTTCTGAATATAAGATTGTGTCATCTACAAAAAGGGACAATTTGACTTCCTCTTTTCCAATTTGGATGCCTATTGTTTCTTTTTCTTACCTGATTGTTCTAGCTAGGACTTCCTGACCGTTAATATTATATACATAAAAGGAAAGTTTGTTTTTAAAAAATGTACTCTGTAAATTCAGCAGAATGGAATTTGTTGGCTGTTACCATAATCTTCATTATTTATCATGAGCTCTCTAGTAAACCAAATAAATATATATTGTGAAAATAAATGTCTTCATTCAGGGAGTTAAGAATATTTGGTAAACACAGGAGATAATGTTATTTTCCTGGTTTGAAAGATGAAAAAATTGAGGCATAGGTAATTTTTACAATTGATCCCTCCTCTCTTCCTAAATAACTAAAAGTGAGTATCTAATCTATATATAATTCATGTGATAGTCTTTCCTTTCCTTTTTTGTCTTGTTACTTAAGCCAATCTATTGGAAAAGAAAAATATAACAAACCTTCATCTGTGTGGAACTTTTATTGAAACGTTTAAGGTAGCTTAAATTTTTTAATTCGATTAGTTGCTGATTTCCCCTCAAACTTTAGGTTGTTTTATCTCTGTAACACACACTATGACAAGAATCGAAGTTGATACTAGTTAGTCTGGCCAAAAAACAGCAATTAGTAGGCAAACTAAAGAGTAGATACAAGTAAAATATTTTCTTCCAGATCTATGGTAACCAGGCAACACTGTGTCGTAAGAGTTTTAAATGTGCTTTCATTTTTTTTTAATTTATTTAAAAAATAGCACATTTTCAACCTTTAAAAAATCAACAAGTATGGAAAGGCTTATTACAGTAGTTGAAAAGTCTCCCTCATGGCCCTGTTCTACAAAAGTTCTGTTCCCTTCCCCACAAATAGGTAACCATTGTTAGTTTCTTGTGTAAAGGTTTACTTTTAAATCAGAACTATTGTTTGGTATGTTTTCTGTTGGTCTTAGTTTAGGTAGATTTAGGAAATGAATCTCAGAGAAATAGTATTTATTTAATAACTGTGGAATGTTTAAATGAGACTTACTCACATTTATTTTCAATAAAATCACAAGATTCTTTTTTCAAAACACTGCCAACTTACAGAATCAAGTAATTCGTGACCGAAAACGTGTCAGAAAATTGTCACCTGAAGAAATGACTGTTGTCATGTACCGGAAAAGTGAAAACCTTGAAATGAATGAGGATTCTTTAATGTTTGCAAGCATCAAGACTACTGAGTCACCCCTGAATGAAAGCCCTACGGATGGCAGTGAAAAGGAAGCCAGCCATTTTGAAAGTAGTGTTGATGCTGACAGTGAGGCTTCGGAATCTGAAAGTGCTTCAGAACAGACTGGGCTGTTTAGATCCAGTAGTGGATCTGGTGTGCACACATATGGACATCTTTCCCATCCATCAGCAGGTGAACTGCCATGTGCCAACAAGAGTGACAATGGTGATGATGGAATGGCTGAAGCTATTTCTGAACTTTATTTGGGCAGCACTGTAACTGGAGATAGAGATTTTGACAGAGAAAATCAGCCACTAAATATCTCAAATAATTTATGTTTTTCAGAGGAGAAGCATTTGAGGTCTCACGGTCCCCAAAATGCTTTTCAGACCCTTTCTCAGAGCTATATAACTACTTCTAAAGAATGTTCAGTCCAGTCCTGTCTCTACCAGTTTACATCTATGGAATTACTGATGGGGAATAATAAGCTTCTATGCGAGAATTGTACTGAGAAGAAACATAAGTACCAAAAGGAAACAAGTTTTGCAGGTAAATCTTTATATTTTCATTTTTTTTTTTTTTTTAGTGCTGGTGGATTATCTGATGGTGACCAGTGGGTTACAGATTTCAAATAGAGGAACCCATGAATCTTGTCCCCATCCTTGAGCTGTTTGGGCACAGGGATTGTCCTATTCATATTTGTGCCTGGGCACTAAAGACACTGGGCAGAGTAGATTTTCAATGAATTTTTGTTCAAAATAAACTGAAGAGCAGGAAGTATACATCTCTGCCTTGAAAATGCAAATCCACATAATCTTATTTGAGAGACCTAGCTATCTGAAATCCTCCTGTAAGAAATATCCCTAAAACTTATGATTGTATCAGTAGTAAGATTAATGATGAAATTAATGTGCTTCACAAATCCCATAATCTGAAGATTTTAAATAATTATATGTCATGAAGCTAGCAGTATAATGTCTACGTTTAGTTGATCAGAGAAAAGCGGAAAAAGCAGGAATTGCCAAATAAGAAATTCTCAGTGCACCCGTAGCCTTGATGAAATGGAAAGAACACTCTGATTCTTAGTGACTAGTTGTTTTAAAATGTAGGTTTTGTTATTATTTAGGTGTGGTGAAGCCAACAGATCAAGAGATGATTGCTGTTGAAAAAAGTTTGTTGCCGATAGTTTTCAAGAAACAGGGGCATGCCATGCTACACAGGGCCACATAATTCAGCAGAAACATGGACAAGAACCTTTGTCTGGTTTCTGAGGGAAGGAATGGGTAATACAGGGTAAGCAGGTTTAGGATTGGCAAGTTTGAATAATTTAGTGGGCTCTGGGATATAAGGGCTGTCTCTAGTTATCTGGTACCTGGCCCTGGAGTGATTAGGACAGGTGGATAATAGCCCAGGAGTGTTAGAGCCCAGGGAAGGAGATTGTTGGCTCTAGATTGGTTTGCTATGAAAGGCGTGCTTAAGTTGTTTACTATCTCAGGAATTAGCTAGCCCTAGGAGGGGCTGTCCCTCCAATGTTACAAGGCTCTGGATGTCCAAGCATTAGAATAAAGACATGCTTAATATACTAGTAATTAAAGAAATGGCTAGATGTGAGAAGAAAGAAACATCTACTTATGGTAATCCCAGTTAAATATACAGTGGGCCATGTTCAAATCCTATCATAAATCCTTTCTAACAAACTCTTATTGAAATGCCCCATGGTTCTCCACGGTGTGTGTTCTCCTTTTGCTGCAATGATAATAAATCCAGCTTCTTTAACTACAGGTGTGCTTCTGGTGGTCTTCGGCTGGAGGGGATTGACATAAGTTATTACTAGTTCATCTTTCCAACTTCCAAAGTTTTGTTGTAAATGGCATCTCTCTTATTCTTTGTCCTTATTAAGTATGTGCCTTTTTTAAAAAAATCCTTTTCATTTTAGTGGAGTTTTAGAAAGGAGTAGAGAAACCTTTTAATCAGAAGTCCAATTTCTTTAACATTTTTAAAAATGTGGTATGATGTTTCTGTATGATTGTTTACTACATTATATGGTAGATAATGTATAAAATAGAATTTTACATATAAGTTTATTGCATTTTATGCAGAAAAGAAAGCAGAAGGAGTTTATACTAATGCCAGGAAACAATTGCTCATTTCTGCTGTTCCAGCTATCCTAATTCTCCATCTTAAAAGATTCCATCAGGTAAAAGTCTTTTTAGTAGCACCATAGTCATTTTCATCATGTATTGCAGAGCCCTAAGTCCTATAGAATATTGTCAAGGATTGGACAGTAATTTATTAAATTTAAAAATGTATTATGTGTGATTTACTACTATTCCAGCTATAATAGTGTACAAGACTTAAAATTGTTTAATTCACAATATATGAAGATTTAAGTAGTAGGAACCTAAGTGGTGTCTCTGTGTGTGTTTGTGTGTGCTAATGAAGAATAAGTTTTATTAGGAACTCTTACAAGCAGCAAAGTAACAAAATGCACATGGCTTTCTGAGCTCTCACAATCCCGCAGAGAGGGGTGCTTGTGCTGGGCAGAGTTGTCTAGGACTAAATGCAGAAAGGGCTCCAAGGCAGGGCCTGCAGCTATAGGACGCTACAATGGCTGGCAACCTAAATATACTTAATGTGTCAGGTTTTTCTCCAATTCTTTATTGTTTTAATCCAATGCTTTGTCTCAATGAGATCATTTTTTGCATTTTAAAAAATCATTTTAATATTTCTCTGTAAGAATAAGTGAAAATACTAAAACATTTTTGAAAAAGTTAGCAGTTATATTTTGATACCTGTTTTAAAATAAATATTTGAAACAGTATGGTTGGAATTGTAAGAAATAAAACATGGACATAATTTAAAGCTATTACATTATGGTAAAGGAAGAATTTCAGATCAGCTGCGAAGGGGGCTAGATTTATTTAGTAAAGGACTTAGGAAAAATAGTTGTCTAAGGAAATAAAAATATAGAACTTCATTCTACACCATGTATCCATACTATTTTCAAATTTTTTGTGTAAAGCAGATTATCAGGAAGACTAGGAGAAAACTTAAATATTTAACCTGACCTCTGTGCAAAAGACTTTCTAAGTGTATAACTCATGAAGGAAATCTCAAAGAAAAAGAGTGAGAGCTTTGATTACATATTTACAACATTTTAGGCAGGCTACAAATGTGCAAGAAGAGATTTTTCTTCATATTTAACCCTATCCACAGAAAGGTTAGAATAAGTTCTTGATTTTTCTATAGCCAAAGTTAAGAAACTCAGTGGAACTTAAATGGCCATGGAGAGTGGAGGCAGCTGTATCTTGTCTCATATCAGAAATGCCTAATGGAAGGGGTGCATCTGCAGTGACTTTTTATGAACAAGAGAGGATCATGCCAGATTGCAGAAGCTAATTTTGTGATGTACCAGTTATTTTATATTTGGTACTTACACCCCTATTTAGGAAGAACTTACAGAAAGAATTCATGCCCTTAAAGGGAACACCTCAATCCCTTTTCATTCTCAAGCTAAATGTAATGTCAGCAAAGCCTTATTCTTATTCCCAGGGGTTGGGAATTGTAGGGAGCAGAGTCTCAAGCAATGTCTCTGATTTCAGTTTTTTAGCATCTCTAAAAACCTTCTTGGTAATAACTTTAGAGCTATATGTTAGATTTCTGACAATGGGCCCTCTGGAAAAAAAATAATAAATAAATAGAGCTGTATATCAGAAACACCCACAAGATTTAAAGGCAAATCTCAAATTAGATAGAGATTTTTGTCATAAATATGCCAAATGATTAATATAGTAAAATGAGCAAAGAATATCAATTAGAAAAGGAAGTACAAATTCCAGGGAAATATGCAAAAGTCCATTCTTCCCAGCAAAAGACATGCAAAATAAAATCATAGCGAGATTCCTGTCCAAATCAGCATAGTGTTGCCAAAGATGAAGTGGGATATAGGCATTCTTATTAACCAGCAGCGTAAGTATAAATTGGTAACACCTTCTACAAAGTAATTTAGTAATGAATATCAAGAACATTAATGTTTTGGATAAAAGAAACTTCTGAGCAAAAGTAATCACTCTTACCTAATTTGCCTTCCAAGAACCTTTCATAAGGAAACAGAGAGGTACACAAAAATGCGTGGCCCATTTGCAGACCATGCCAGATGTAAGGCCTAGCTTAAGTGTCCAGTGTGCAGGACATCAGATTTATATTTTAATGAGGAAAAGATGATGTATCTACTAAAAGAAAAAAAGACAGGAGACTGCATATGCCCAAATATAGGGCTGGATGTCTTTCAAAATTATCCCTCAGAGAAAAAGTCCTTTACATAGTCTTTCCTATTGTGGAAATTCCTATTATGTAATTTCTCAATAGCAAAGTACTGACTGGGGAGGATACATTAGCCTGAAATGATCTCAGACAGTTCTGGTATCAGATGCTTTTAGAAGTCATCTGATGAGAAAGGCAAAGAATTTGAATATAAATTAAGTAATTATTCTCGGATATGACCTCATAATTTTATGTCAGATATCACATTAAGCCTCCTAAAAGATCACTTGGAAAAACAAATCAGTAAGTGGGGAATATTTTGGCCAAAAAAAATATTTTTTTTCTCTTTAAAGAAAGGTGAGAAATCAAAAGGCGACATATCTACAGTAAAATTATGTGTTTAGTACGCAAATGAAAGACCAGTCATTGAAGTCATGAAAACACTACTTGAAAGTTTGCATTCTATTAGTTTTTGTTTATCTGTAAAATTCAGATTTAAGTATCTTCTCATTCCGACAGAGTCCATTTCAATACCTTTGATAATTTGTTAGCTAGTTTTTATTACCATTACATAATGCAAGGCATACATTTTGAAAATTAAAACAAGAGAAAGGTAGAGCTTATTTAAGAACATAAAAGTACATTTTGACTTATATTACATTTACTTTTCTTGATAAAATGTTTTGAGTGTTCACAGTTTTTGTTTCAATGAATGAATATAATTGAATTTTAGAACTGAAAAGGAATCCAATCCATTTATACCTGTTTTCTGCCTTGACCTAGATGAGGTTGCTTAGAATCAAGTTGTTAACTAGTCACTGAGGCCTAGAAAGAACACTGGGCTCCTGACTCTTTAGTTGAATACATTTTCATGATAGTGTATGTGTCAGTAGCTTAGCTTTTATCACATCTAATTAATTTTTCCATAAGTATTGAAAAGCCACAGCGAAAGTAATTATTTCCCTAATCGTTCATGGTAAAAATACCCATGTAAATGAATAATCTCTGTGGTAACAATTTATGAAACCTAATTTTTAACTTAGTCATATCAGTTTTGGACTATTCATTAGTCACATTTTTATATATATGAAAAAACTAACTTCTAGAATTCGTCTTTTGGTTTTAGTTAACAAACATAGTGCTTATGATTTAATTAAGTTTGCTGCATTAAAAAATGTTTTGGTTTTTTTAAGGCTGGCTTGAATCTTCGTAAAGTAAACAGACATGTAGATTTTCCACTTATGCTTGATTTAGCACCATTCTGTTCTGCTACTTGTAAGGTACAGTACATTAAGATATTTAATTGACTTGCAAATAATATGCGTTAAAGTATGCTATGTATTGTTAGGCCATGTTTTTGGGTTTTTTTTTAAAGTAAACTTCTCTCTGAAAGAAAATTTTAATAGTGATTAAATCAGTAATGTGTATAACATTTAATACACTATGACTTTTGTTCTTTGAGAGACAGAATAAAGAAAAATCGAAAAGATAAGGCATGAGATATGGTGGTCATGAAAATCAAAGCTGTTTGTAAATGCTAGTAGAAGCTGATAGTACTAAGAGAAGTGAATATATTTTGTGCCCTCTCCTGTTCTTTGTGAATAATCTGTGTAATTAGTAATAGTTTTGTGGATTTCTCTATCTTTTGCAAATCAGTATACTAGTGCATTGTCTTTCATACCATTTCATGTGTACTACTGAGAGTAGTGTACTTGTCAGCTGAGTATGATACTTCAAAATTGCTAATACTTTAATAATTAGGTATAGAAAGCAGACTGGTATATAATTGCTTGTGTTTACATGTAAGAATTGTGTAATGAAATAAATGACTTTATCTTCCTTGAGGGAAGCAGTTAATTGGGTAACTTATTGTCCTGTTCAATAGCTAGAAGTCTAGGTTTTGTGGTATGTAATGAAATGCTTATTAAACTTAATATTTTCAGTACACTGACCAGTCAAAACAAAAATCTTAAATGCAGTTTTCGGGTGAATCCAATTTATCTGTTGTGGAATACCAGCATTATCTGTAAATTATTAACACTCAGTAGTCCTAGAATTTCATAATGTGATAAATAATAATGAAATTTAACAAGCTCTAGGCTAAATTTATGAAAACACTGTATGTTAAAAGTACCTATTATGGAGAATTTCCAACATACACTGAAGTAGACAGAACAGTGCAATGAGCCTCTGGCACCTAGCCCTAAAACCTCAGATCCTGTCCCATCCACACACTCATCCACTTCCTCCTTTATTATATTGAAGCACATAACAGGCATCATTTCATCCATAAATAGTTCATTATGTGTCTCTTTTTTTAAGAGGCCAGGCTGGGTGGCAGTGGCACAGTCATAGCTGGCTGCAGCCTCGAACTCCTGGGCTCAAGTGATCCTCCTACCTCAGCCTCCCAAGTAGCTAGACCTACAGGCGTGCCATCACACCCAGCTAATTTATTTTTCATACAGACAGGGTCTTGCTATGTTGCCTTGGCTATTCTCAAACTCCTGGCCTCGAGCAATCTTCCTGCATTGGCCACCCAAAGCACTGGGATTATAGGCATGAGCCACTGCACCTACCCTTGTATCTCTAAAAGATTAAGAATTACTTCTTCCCTCTTTTTTTTTTTTAAAAAAAACATAACCACAATACTATTTAATAATTCCATCATATCATCTAGTGTTCATATTTCCAATTGTCTTATAAATGTAATTTTTAAATGAGCTAGAATCCAAATAAAGACTGGATATATTGTTAATTTGTATAATTTTTTAATTTTCATTTTTAAGGATTGCTTTTGAAAATTTTATTTAATAATTATATAAAATATTTGCATAGGTCCAGTGTATAAACAAGGTAAATTCAAAGAAGTCTAGCTTTTACCCATGTCCATTCTACCTGTTTCCTCTCACTCCTTATAGATAGCCATTTAAAAATTTATGGTTTACTTTTTTATTACTTTTTAAAAATATAAGTAAACAGGTATGTATATTTACATCTCCCCTCTTAAGTAATGGTAGCTTACACTATGAATCCTTTTCTCTCTACCTATTCTTAACATTATATTCTGGAGATTATTTCATAGCAGTATTTAGAGATACAAACCATTTTTTAAGCAGTGTAATAATCTGTTGTGTGGATATATCACAGTTTATTCAACCAGTTCCTAATTTATAGACATTTGGGTTTATTCTAGTCTTTTGATATTACAAATGATCCTGCAGTTAATAGTCTGGTGCATGTCTTTTTATGTTTTGTTCACGTACCTGTGAGAGAGAATCCTAGAAATAGGATTGATGAATCCACGAGTAATATATATGTAACTTAGCTAGATTAGATGAAATATCCCTACATAGGGGTTGTATACTTTGCATGCCCACATGCAATGTGTGTGAGTGCCTTTTTCCCCACAGGCCGGCCCACAGAGGATCTTGTCATGCTTTTGCAATTTTGTCAGCCTAATAGGTGTGGAAAAGTATCTCAGTATAGTTTTACAATGCATTTCTCTTATTTTAAGCAGGATATACATTTACTTACTTTTCCTTACAATAATATTTCACTAACTATTACTAATGGATTTTTTCTTTGTTTAAAAGAATGTAAATGTGGGAGAGAAAGTTCTCTATGGTCTCTATGGTATAGTGGAACATACTGGCTCAATGAGAGCAGGTCACTACACCGCTTATGTGAAAGTGAGAACACCCTCCAGGAAATTATTGGAACATATCACTGGAAAGAAAAATATGTCTGGTATGCCATCCTAAGTTTATTTCATTATTTTTTAATTTTTTTTATTTTTAATTATTATGGGTACATAATAGTTGTGTATCTTTATAGGGTACATGTGATGTTTTGATACAGGCATACAATGTGAATTAATCAAATCTGGGGTATCTACCATCAGGTATCCACCACCCCAGGCATTTATCATTTCTTTGTGTTAGAAACATTCCAGTTCCATTCTTTTAGTTATTTTAAAGTATACCCTAACTTATTGTTGATTATAGTCACTTTGTTGTGCTATCAAATATTGTTCATTCTATCTAATATCTAACTATATTTTTACAACCATTAACCATCCCCACTTCATCCCCCTCTCTCTGCTACCCTTCCCAGCCTCCGGTAACCATCATTCTACTCTCTGTCTCCATGAGACCAATTGTTTTTAATATTTAGCTCCCATATATGAGTGAGAAACATACTAGATTTGTCTTTCTGTGCTTTGCTTATTTCATATAACATAATGTTCTCCAGTTCCGTCCATGTTGTTGCAAATGGCAGGATTTCACTCTTTTTTGTGGCTATATAATATTCCATTATGTATATCTGCCACAATTTCTTTATCCAGTCATCTGTCGATGGACACTTAAGTTGATTCCAAATCTTGGCTATTGTAAATAGTGCTGTAGTAAACATGGAAGTGCAGATATCTTTTTGATATACTGAATCCCACTCCTTTGGATCTATACCCAGCAGTGGGATTGCTGGATCACATGGTAGTTCTATTTTCAGTTTTTTGAGGAACCTCTCTACTGTTCCCCTTAGTGCCTGTGCTAATTTACATTCTCACCAACCGTGTGTGAGGTTTTCATTACATCCCTTTTCGCTACATCCTCGCCAGCATTCGTTATTGCCTGTCTTTTTGATAAAAGCCATTTTAACTGGGGTGAGATTATCTCTCATTGTAGTTTTGATTTTCAGTTCTCTGATGACTAATGATGTTGAGCATTTTTTTTAGTACCTGGTGGCCATTTGTATGTCTGCTTTTGTGAAATGTCTATTCAGATCCTTTGCCCCCTTTTAATTGGATTATTTGATTTCTCCCTATTCAGTTATTGGATGGGTAGTTTGCAAATATTTTCTCCCATTCTGTGGGTTGTCTCTTCCCTTTGTTGATTGTTTCTTTGCTGTGCAGAAACTTTTTAGCTTGATGTGATCCCATTTGTCCAATTTTTCTTTGGTTGCCTGTACTTCAGGGGTAGTATTACTCAAGAAATCATTGCCCAGACCAATGTCCTCGAGAGTTTCCCCGATGTTTTCTTTTAGTAGTTTCATAGTTTCCGGTCTTAGATTTCAGTCTTTAATTCATTTTGATTTGATTTTTGTATATGGCAAAAGATACGGGTCTAGTTTCATTCTCCTACATATATGGATATCCAGTTTTCCCAGCACCATTTATTGAAGAGACTGTCCTTTCCCAACTGTATGTTCTTGGCACCTTTGTCAAAGACCAGTTTGCTGTAATGTATGGATTTATTTCTGAGTTCTTCATTCTGTTCCATTGGTGCATGTTTCGTATGCCAATACCATTCTGTTTTAGTAGCTACAGCTCTGTAGTTTAATTTGAAGTCAAGTAATGTGATTCTTCCAGTTTTTTTCTTTTTGCTTAGGATAGCTTTGGCTATTCTAAGTCTTTTGTGGTTTCATATAAATTTTAGGATTATTTTTTCTATTTCTGTGAAGGATGTCATTGGTATTTTGATGGGGATTGCAATGAATCTGTGGATTGCTTTGGGTAGTATGGACATTTTAACAATATTCTTCTAATCCACAAGCACGGCATATCCATTTTTTTGTGTGTTTCCTCTTCAGTTTCTTTCATCAATGTTTTATAGTTTTCATTGTAGAGGTCTTTCCTCTCTTTGTTTAAGTTTATTCCTAGGTATTTTATTTGTAGCTATTATGAATGGGATTACTTTCTTGGTTTCTTTTTCAGATTCTTTACTGTTGGCATATGGAAAGGCTACTGATTTTTGTATAGTGATTTTGTATCCTGCAACTTTACTGAATTTGTTATCAGTTGTGATAGGTTTTTTGTGGAGTCTTTAGGTTTCTCTGGATATAAGAGTATATCATCTGCAAATAAGGATAATTTGACTTCTTCCTTTCCAGTTTGGATGCCCTTTATTTCTTTCTCTTGTCTGATTGCTTCAGCTAGAACTACTAGTACTGTGTTGAATAACAGTGGTGAAAGTGGGCATCCCTGTTTTGTACCAAATCTTAGAGGAAAGGCTGTCATTTTTTCCCCATTCAGAATGATACTAGCTGTGGGTCTGTCATATATGGCTTTTATCATGTTGAGGTAAGTTCCTTCTATACCCAGTTTTTTGAGAGGTTTTTATCATGAAGGGATATTGAATGCTTTTTCAGCATCAATTTAAATGACCATATGGTTTTTGTCCTCATTCTGTTGATATGATGTATCACATTGATTTGTATACGTTGAACCATCCTTGCATCCCTAAGATGAATCCCACTTCATTGAGCTGAATAATCTTTTTAATGTGTTGTTGAATTCAGTTTGCTAGCATTTTATTGAGGGTTTTTGCATCTATGTTCATCAGAGATTATTGGCCTATAGTTTTATTTTTTTGTTGTCATTGTTAAGTTTATTTCATTATTAAAAACAAATTCTTCCTTTTTTGGAAGAGATAAGTTATTATTTTACAGATACCTTAGTAGATTGACTTTAAATAAGAATTACATCTAAGAGTGGTTAGAGAATTCTAAATATCATGATACTATACCCTTCTAGGTGATATGAAGTGACACACGGTTTTTCAAGGTACTGAGTCATCATGTATTACAGTGGAGTGATATTTTATTTAACAATACCAAAAATTTTTTGAAGACATACCAGGTCCTCAGAACAGAGTTGGAGTTGAAAATTTGCTGGCTTTGTTTATGAGTCATTTAACTTTGCTTTTTTTTTTTTTTCCCTCTTTGAGTGAAAATGATTCTTTTCCCTGAGCAATTATTTGTAAGGTCATATTTCACTACATGTTTAAAGTATTACTAAGTAGAGATAATTATTATCCCTATAATATTTATGTTTTGAAAGAATTAGTTTATTTTGGAAAATGCTTAACCTAAGAGGAAACAACTTCTGCAGTAAGATTTAGCATTGGATAAATATAGTTTGTAATGAATACGTTACTATTTATAATTTGGAGTAAGAACATAAATCATACTGATTGTAAAATTGTACTTTTTGTTTTGTTAGGTTTGAAAGAACCTGACAGTGAATTGGCAGGCCAGTGGGTCCATATTAGTGACACTTATGTGCAAATGGTTCCAGAATCAAGAGCACTTAGTGCACAAGCTTACCTTCTTTTTTATGAAAGAGTATTATAATTATTAATGGTAATGATTATTTAGGTCACTTTTGTTTGAATGCTGCAATGATAACCATAATATATAATGTGCCTTGGTAGTCTTTCTTCTGTGAGAATGTCATGTCCCTCAAATGCTCCTGAACTTTTTTACCATTTTGGTGAACCCTTTTAAAGTAAATTAAATTTATTCAATGCTTTCAAATTATATTCTTAAAATAAATGTAAAAACATTTTTCAAAATATTTGTCCTGGGGGGACAGAAAAACCCCAGATTTTACAGTAGGAGAGGAAATGCTTTTATGATGTGGTCCATTATTAACAAACATTCAGAAACAACGCTGTCTAAATCAAATCATTCCTTAAGACAATGTTTCCGAAAGTGTTGTAATACCACCTTCCTGATCTCATATATATTCTGTGCCATTGTGTACTTATTTTTTTTAACATTTTTAGCCTTAATTTTTTTAACCTTAGCCTTGTTTTGAGCAATAATATTCCATGTTTTATGTACTTGTTATTTTTTTTGAATAAACATAAATATATAATTATTAAAGATTATTTATCCATGTACTGCTCCATTTAAAATCATCTCAGGGCTATCCAGTGGTATATATGTACTACTGTTTGAGAAACATTGCTATAACACATAATTATATGAAGTAATACCTAATATGGCATAGTGACCTTGTCATATTTTATATGATTCAGCTATTTAACACATTCACTACCATGTGAGTTGTATTTAACTCACACTAGTTTTGAGCCCAGGGCCTCATGAAGCAAAACCTGGGCAAAACCCTGCAGTTGGTTCATGAAAATCTTACTTGTTGATATTCTTATTGTTACAATTAATATTCACAATTCTAAAAACGTGAATTAAATGAATAGAAGGCAATAACAAATTTTTCATTAAATTAGAAAGAATCATTTTGTTTTCCAAGTTTTTGTTCTATTTTTGTAATAAAATACTGTGGCCCTAAGAAAAAAATTTTTTTTTCTAGTGTGGAAGTGTGTTAAACAGGTATCACTGTAATTTCAGTAGTGTGGGTTTACAAATAATATATCGATTATCTTATTAATTTGAGGTTTTGAGAACTGGAAATATATTGAGACATTTAATTAACGTATCATTTGCAGCCTATTCATGGTGGAGTTAAGAATAATTTGCAAGTGTTTGGCCAAGGTCAAAATGTAAATAGTTATAACATGTAGAATAGGTAATTAGAAGTCGATAATCTGTATGAGACCATAGGATACCTTTGATATATAAATTGTCAAATTATATTTGTAAGTGATAGAGGATTACATTAACAAGAATATTTTTTACCTCTGTATTTCAGTAAATATTAAACATGATTTGGAGGTTTTGAGATTATTTTTGTCTTCAACAAGCATCATTAATAAGTTCAGTGGATTTAGCTTTTATTTTAATGGGGCATAAAGCTGACATTTCTGATTTTCTTTTTAAATAAATAATAGCAAAACTGATAGTTTTTCCCCTCTAGAATACAAATTATTAAGCTGTCAAAACTTGGCATGAAAAATATTACTATTACTTAGGCTTAAGTTTTAAAAAATAGTGGCTACTTCAGTGTCATATTATTGAATCAAAACATAACTGCATGGTTCAAGCATCCTAATTATTAGTGCCAATGAATGATACTACAAGCAAGTGCTGGATAATTGCCTAGTCCCAGTTCATTCTCCTCTTAGGAAGTAAAAATTATAGCAGCTGTAGATAATGTGTGGAAATATTTAACCAAGACTGACTCTTTTTAACATGTAAGTATACATAACATTATCAAGGTTACCAGTGCTGCCTTCTGATATATTAATGAATAGAATTGTGATTTCTGATAAAGATGGTAATAGTATACAAGACACAGAGCTTAAAAATGTCATTGTATAAATTGTTTGTAAGCTATCGAAATTTCAGTAATAGTGTTTTTCTTTATTTTTTTAACAGTGAAATAATTGAGAAATATGTCTTTATAAATTAATATGCAAAGTCAGGTTATGTCCTGTGAAAGGTAGTTTACAGTATTTTCTGTTTCATTCATTAATATTGAAGATTTTAGTACCAGAGCAGTGAATTTTTTGAAAAATTTCTTTATTCAAGTCAGCCCTCTTGGTAATAGCAATTGCCACCCCATCCCCCCCAAAATAAATGTATAATAAATATTAGGTCAGCTCAGTTTTCTCCTTGAAAAGATACTATTAAGAAGTATATAGTTTTCATTGGATGGTCACCTGTTTCTTGTTTCAAAGGTAGATATTTGGAAACGTACCTATACCTGCTATGCTGACACTACTTTAACATTTTTTAAAATGGAAAGACCTATATAGATTTTAGATATTATTCTAGAAGTTACATGTAGATAAGATACTTTTGTTTTCATTTCCTTAGTGTTAAATGAGCTAATTCAGAAATCTATTTTTTTATGGCCTAGAGTTTATAAATGCTTTTTCCTTGTCTTCTGAAAGACAAGGAAATTTAATTTTCATACCTAAGAATTTCCTAAAAATAGCTTTTGTAATAGAGAAAGCATGTTAAGTTATACATGGGTCTACATTTAAAGAAAAAAAAATTTTTTTTGAGACAGGTTCTCACTTTGTTGCAATGGCATCATCATAGCTCACTGCAACCTCAAACTCCCAGGCTCAAGCCATCCTCCTGCCTCAGCCTCCCAAGCAGCTTGACAGGCACACACCACCACATCCAGCTAATTTTTCTATTTTTTGTAGAGACCAGGTCGCTCTATGTTGCTCAGGCTGGCCTTGAACTCCTGGCCTCAAGCTATCCTCTCACCTTGGTAAATTTGTTTTTATTTTGAATATTTCCAAAGCACATTTGCAGGGATATTAAATTGTGAGGCTACTGTAATAACAATAGTCTCCAGATTACCTCAGGAAGCAGTAAAAATAAATAAGAATGTTTACAGATCATCAAAACAACTACCATAGTGCTTGAACAAATCAATTTAAGTAAAAGAGAAGTTACACTGGCTTTGTTTGGAAATTAGTTTACAGGGTATGTCTGACCCCAGTTCTCCCTAATTTTTTCATATTTGAAATGATAAAATGTTGATTATGTGCCAATAATGTGAATATTCTTGACATGATGAAATATATGTCTATACTTAAGATTTTGACGTTTAATACTTTTAAAAATTGTGAGGACCACCTTTTTAGGTGGCCAAGGAGAGTGATAGTTGATATCAATTCAAAGAGTAATTGACACCTGTTCTTATTTTAAGCAATTGGGCTATTTTACTATATTTAATAGCTCTTAGCTCGCATGTGTGATGATTTTAATTAGTGATTATGTAACAGCTACACAAAATTTCCTGCAGATTAAGCTCTGAAATGCATCAACCTTTATCTAATTTGTGTAGTACAAAATAACATCTTGCCTACTTTTTAAAAATTCATATTCATAATTTATTTTTCTGCATGATGCCTGATCAAATAAGGCTAAACCAAATATGTGCAATAAAATTGAGCCCTTAGGTAGTATCCAGTGCATTATTAAGAAAGAATATTTCTAGATATTTAAATTTTTTTTGTTTGTATAGAAATCATCAATTCACATCTGTTTAAAAGATGATTATATTTTCAATTTTGAGAAATTAAGTCATTCCTATGTTTTATCTTCACTTTTTTTGCAGTTTTTAGAAAATAGCTATGTAACTTATTGAGCAGTATTTTGTTACTGTATAAACATGCATTATAAATATTAAATTCTTATTTATCTTATGTTACAAATTGGTCCTGGATTTTTTGCAATGCACATTGACAATGTTTTATCTGTATTTGTGTATGTCTTAGTCCACTTGGGCTGCTATAACAAAATACCACAAACTGGGTGGCTTATTAACAATAAAAATTTATTCACAGTTCTGGAGGTTGGGAAATTCAAGATCAAGGTGCTAGTAGATTCTGTGTCTGGTGAGGGTCCATTCGTGGTTCATACAGACAGTGCTTTCTTGCTGGGTCCTCACACGGGGAAGGGGGCAATGGATGACTCTTGGGCCTCTTTTATGAATGCACTAATCCCCATGCATCGGGGCTCCATCCTTCTGACCTAATCACCTCCCAAAGGCCCTACCTTCAAATACCTCAAATATTTGAGTTATTTAACAGTATAATTCATTAGGAAATATTTTATCTGTCTGTTTGTACCTAACCTTTTTTTGGGTCATGAAGCTGTTTGAGATTATGATGAAAGTTATAGACCATCTTTTGTTTAATCATTTAATTAAATATTTGTTGAACACCTGCTATGTGTAGGCACTAGGGATACAACAGAACACGAGACAGAAATCTACAGAAATGAGGAAATAGACATTCTAATGTGAGAAGTAAGGAAAAGATCTGTCAAATGGTAATGATACAAGGAAAAATCAAGCAATATTGCCTATGGAGCCATATGGAAATTAAGGTCCAGGGGGATGAAGGATATCCTAGGGATAAAAAGGCATCATGATATTAGTCCTGACAGTCCCAAAGAGAAAGCTGAATGTTTGAAACAGTAGGGTTTTAATTCTGCAGCCATCTCTTCTGACAATATAGAGGCTGGAAAGGGAAATATTGACATCTTTATGTTTCCAAGAAAATATGTCCCCAATTTTTATATGTAATTTCAGAGGTTCATGGACTCCCCTGAAGCCATTTTCATACATATTTTAGATTGTATGCAAGCAGAAATATCCAAAAATGTTTGCATTCCCAGATGTATTAGGATAGGCTGGGTTATGCTGCAGTAACAACCCAAAATCCTGGTGGCTTAGCACAACAAAAATTGTTTCTTGCTCACCCAAAGTTCACTGTGAGTCTGGGCAATCTGCAAAGGGGACTGTTCTCCAACTGGTGACTCTATAATCCAGGCTGATTCAATCTTGTGGCTCTACCATTTCAACACCAGGCCTTCCCATTGTGGCAGGGAAATAGAGAACTAAAAGGTCTGTACCAGCAAATAAGTTCTTCATCTTGGATGTGTCACAATTTATTGGACAGAAG